GGTCATGTGGTCAGTGATGGTCATGGTCAGTGATGGTCATGTGGTCAGTGATGGTCATGGTCAGTGATGGTCATGTGGTCAGTGATGGTCATGATCAGTGATGGTCATGGTCAGTGATGGTCATGTGGTCAGTGATGGTCATAGTCAGTGATGGTCATGATCAGTGATGGTCATGGTCAGTGATGGTCATGTGGTCAGTGATGGTCATAGTCAGTGATGGTCATAGTCAGTGATGGTCATAGTCAGTGATGGTCATAGTCAGTGATGGTCATAGTCAGTGATGGTCATGGTCAGTGATGGTCATGTGGTCAGTGATGGTCATGGTCAGTGATGGTCATGGTCAGTGATGGTCATGGTCCTTACTTAATAGCATCATAAAACAATTACGTATTCTGATGGCACGTCTATGAGGAAATATAAAATCACGCATGAAAAAGGGCGCTAATATCATTTAAACCTGCGTTGTTTTAAATATCAAAACGTGTAAAAAATTAGATAAACGCGGACTTTGAAAAAAGGTCACGTGTAAAAAGTTGCATCAACAGAACTTGCACCGCTTAGTTAATTTAGTGCTTATTAACTGTTAAACTGTCACTAAACACTTTTATCATTAGATATGCAAGTAATATGTAATACACAGTTAATTATATATTATTATATATAATAGTTAAGGTCTCACCTACAGTGAAGGCCTCACCTACAGTGAAGGCCTCACCTACAGTGAAGGCCTCACCTACAGTGAAGGCCTCACCTACAGTGAAGGCCTCACCAATAATTTGATGTTTGTCCATGAGACGTCGCAGAAGGTCCCCGAGAAGGCGGCCCGTGTTCAGAGCGGCCGTCATGAGCCCGTCCTCCTCGATGACGTCCAGCACGGCCCGTGCCACGGCGCACGACACGGCGTTACCACCGAACGTGTTGAAATATTCCATGCCCGTCGCCCCGAAGCTCTCCGCTATCGCTCTGAACACGGTAATAACTATGCCAATAACAGTAGTTTGTATTACTATGCTATCGCTCTAAACGCGGTAATAATTATGCCAATAACAGCAGTTTGAATTACTGCGCTATCGCTCTGAACACGGTAATAATTATGCCAATAACAGCAGTTTGTATTACTAAGTTATTCCTCAAAACACGGTAATAATTATGCCAATAACAGCAGTTTGTATTACTGCGCTATCGCTCTAAACACGGTGATAATTATGCCAATAACAGCAGTTTGTATTACTGCGCTATCGCTCTAAACACGGTGATAATTATGCCAATAACAGCAGCTTGCATTACTGCGCTATCGCTCTAAACACTGTAATAATTATGCCAATAACAGCAGTTTGTATCAATACCTTATCGCTCTAAAAACGGTAATAATTAAGCCAATAACAGCAGTTTGTATCAATACCTTATCGCTCTAAACACGGCAATAATTATTCCAATACTTTTGTTGTCAATAATACTAATTTTTACTTATAACATGATTAGTAGAATAAAAGAAGTTACAATTGCCATTATTGAAAATGTACCTCAATTTTTCATGTCTATGGGGCACAAATTTCAGTCTCCACTCCTAAACTCCAAACGCGGGAATAATTCAGTATACTTTGAGTAAGTGTCAGCAGTGTATGGAGCAGCAAGTGTCAGCAGCGTATGGAGCAAGTGTCAGCAGTGTATGGAGCAAGTGTCAGCAGTGTATGGAGCAGCAAGTGTCAGCAGTGTATGGAGCAGCAAGTGTCAGCAGTGTATGGAGCAAGTGTCAGCAGTGTATGGAGCAAGTGTCAGCAGTGTATGGAGC